AAGGGTATTTTTATGGACATTAGTAGGAGTTGCTGGGAAGTTTGCACCACTTGAGTGATGTCAAACTACGCTTTCACAACAGAACAAATATCAACCACAGTTAACACACAAGTATACACACACTCAACATGTTAAACTTTTCTCTTTGTTATTTATGCCCGCAATTCTAAACAGCTCGGAGATCCACAGTGCTTTGTGACTGTTTGCTGTATGCACTATTCGTTGTCTACAGATGTGTGTAATACTGGGAGGCCACAGATGGTTTTAAGTAAGGACTAACCATACTGTGACCAAAAGAAGATGAAAGGCTATGTTAATGTAATAGGCATACTGAAATTATAATCAGAGTGGGTTATAAAGCGGGAGACAATTCCAGACCTGCATTGTGCCATAAAACACCTGTGGTTGAGCTATGCTAAATGGAGGGCAGTCAACATGATAGTTTTACATGACAGATAAAATGCTTTAATGATTTAAAGAGGATTTCACAAAGACAGCGCAGATGGCACAAAAATAAAATAATATTGACACATTGGGGTAATATGAATTTAGAAAGCCTCCCTCTGCTTTGAGACTAAAGGAATTCATTTAAAGAATAAGCTTTAGGGTTTTGCTTGTGTTTCACTCAACTTGACGATTATCCCTATTTGAAATATACTTAAACAACCTTTTTGAATTATTCAGCGTGAGAAAGGCTTCTTATGCATTGGAGCATTTACTTCTCTGTTCTCTGTAACTGTGCTCCGTACTTTTTTCCCACAAAGAAAAACAAAATTTAGTAGAACGCAACAGCCTCGATTAGCACTAAATTTTCCTAGGCATTTAAGTAAGTATGTCCATTACAGGAATGGGGCAATTAATATGGACATCACTCCCCATGATACGTTCACATAGAGAACTATGGGTTTCAGTGATGGAAAGAGACATTACACTCTAATCTCCCTGTGTGCCCTGTGTGAACTGTAATGTGGGTCGATGTGAGACAGGGCTGGACAGTTTTAGCACTGTAAAAATATCCTGCTCTCTTTTTCCTCCATCTTTCCTTATCACCAGGACATGTGGAGCCTCATGCAAACAAAAGTATGTCTCCTTCATGTAAGACTAATAAATAGTGTCTCAGTTTAAAAATGAGGAAATGTTCCATGAGGCCCATTTAATCTGCTGCACCATTACTTATTTGGCATATTAGTGTGGTGCTGATTATCAATTTGGAAATAAAATAAACACAGAGGATCCTCATCTTGGCCCGTGTCCATACAAAAACTTAAAAATAGTGACACTGCTTCTGTTTGTTCGCTTAAATCAGACTTGGAATTATTTACACACGAAGAATACCGCAACAGAAAAAATAGACAAATCAACTTGATTGGAGTTATGTTCCATCCACAAATAGGCAAGTAAGTGGAGTGCTCTGGAAATACAGTGTATCACTTTTTTTTTATTGTTGATTGAATGAAGGAAAATACCAGAAAACGGTCAAATGCGGAAATGCTTGCATCAAATCATAATCCTGCCTGGCTGCCTCTCATGTCGTAGAAATAATGGCATCAGGTGATTATGTGGCATTTCGGGAAGCCTAAAGGTTAAAATAGATCATTTCCATCGGAAATGAACACAAATGAAGCCTTTTGAAATCAGAACTGAAAATACAGTTCTGAGAGCACACTGATATAATTAATTATATTTCCATAGTTTGTTTTCATATTTAACTCATTCTTATGTCGCTGTTCACACACCTGCACATACAACAGTATTATTACCATTTTTAAGTGTATCCTCATCCACATGTAGTGAATAACTTACTTTCACTAAGACCTTTTAGATTTCACTATCACTAAAAGGAAACATAAAGTGTAGTTGTTTGAATAAGAGACCATATAGAACATGTCTCTACATCTATAAATATACATTCCTTGCAAGGAATAGCTGCTCATGGGAACAGCATGTTAGCTTCCTCTATGCAGAATTAAAATAAGATGCAAGTGATCTGAGAGCTGAACAGATAATGTCCCTTCTGCGTGCAGAGTAAGCAGCTAAAATTGACCCATCACCAGAAACACCCTCTTCCTGCTGATGTACACATATCAACACATGGAAATCAGGACTATGGACATCCAGGAGCTCAGGTTAATACATTTTATATGAGTAATGTGCCTGCAGATATTGTGAAAATGAGACTACACAATCAAATCCACTTGACCCACACACTGTGTCACACTGGCCTTATGCCAGACTTCCATCACTATGGGAAATCTGTGTATGTGTGTAACAGTTTGCTCATGCTTTTCCTCTTCATCAGTCAGTGTCTAATCAGGTGTATCGATTCTGTAATTGCTTGGTTATGGTATCATTATTCTGTCAATTTGAAAGTATCTACATTGATCTCATGAGGATGGAGTGATATGGAGAGTAGAAGCAGCATCAAGCAGAAAGAATGGGGAAAAGGGGAAACAGAAGCAGTTGGGAAATAGGATTACATCATAGTTCAAGAATATCTGAAAACTAAAATCTTTAAATTGAACTTGAGAAAGTGAAACATGTATTTCCCCACTGCAAAAGGAGACTCACATTTTGGCTCCTATCTGCCTTTCGTCTGTAACCAAGGACAGATGAGGAGCATCACTACGGTTACCATATCCATGACAACGTCTCTTGCTGCTATTATTGGGCATGTCGTCAAGGAGACAGAGCAGTCCATTATGGGATGCAGACAGAAATAGCAAACATGTACAGGAAGCAATTCAACAGATCTCTGGTATTACGTAAGTGACTTGTGCAAATCTAACCAGAGGCGCCATGTTTGTTCTAAATCTCAGTCACAGATGAAACAGGTTCAGAAGAAAGCATAAGAATCACCAGCCCGCATAGTGTGATGTGTCTTTTTCGATACTTACAAAAGTTTTAATTAAAAAGCGCACACAGCAACAAAAAACTGATAAAAACAGGTAACTGATATGTGACTACTGGTTTTGGAAAACCTGAACAAAGTTTACAAAGTTTTCTCTGTTTCTCCTCTTTAACTGTGATAAATAATCTATTTACCTGCTGTGTTTTGACTCCATTTGACCAAATACTGTTAATATAATCAAATTACACAAATGACTTTTTGCTCTAATTTGTCTACGTCACTTACCCAAACAAAAATAAATAGTTCAACCATGTATTTCAGACACTGGTTCATTTGCCCATAGCTTCCTGTCTGTCAGAAGGTCATAAAACTAAGTGATCACAGCTGTGGTGGTGGTGAGGGACATGGCTGTGGCAGTATGGATGTTTGTGTCGTATCTGTCCATTAACATGCTTAGCCGGAAGACACCCATAGGGTTAAAAATAAAAAAGAAAGAATACTTAAACACTTCAAAGTTTGTTTATGTAAGATGGTTAAAGCAACTGCTCTGTATTTTCTATAGATCATGCATATTATAAGTGACACATCTTTATGATCTCCGAAAGAGAAATAAGCTTATTTTGGATATTCCTTATTTCATCCTCATGAGTCACAAAGAGGGTTGCCCAGGCTGGAGATCCTCCTTCCCAGGAAGAGTCTGGGTCCTTGCTCTCCAGCTGTCACCTGTTGCTCCCAGCATCAAAACTCCAGCTGCTCTGAAGGTCAGCTTGTGCATTCACCTTTAGACAGACTTTCTGCTTGTACACTGTGTTAATCAGGCTGCATCACATTTCTTTCAAACTATACATTTCTTGCTGTCTAGTCAAGTCATTTCCAGTGGAATGCCTCTGTGGATTACTTCTCTCTGCTGCTCACCTGCCTGCCCAACCTCTGTCAAGCACAGTCTGTGGATACCCCCAAAATATTCCCGTCAGTCATAACTAGTAAGCACAAAGAATCAGTCACATAGCTACTTTTGGATCATCTTCATCTCTTTTTTAAAAATAACATTCTTTTCCTTCTCTGCCTGAAACTCGGAGCGAGTGACTGGGCTGTTTCCTGGAATCTGTGTTCACCCCCTCTTAATCCTGTTTTATTAATCTTGTTACACATTTCATTGCCATTTCTAGCCATGTTACTAAAAGGTAAACACAGAAGTAATAGCTATAATCTGAAAATGACTGCTTTAAAACTGAAATATGTGTGCATGCTTCTTGCTTTTCAGAGATTCAGAGTGAGTGACAGACACTAGAAGGCAAAACCGTTCTCCTTCCATAGTTGGATTTACTCCTCTACTGAGTCATACCTGCTCTCCAACTGCATCATTATGAGACAAATCGGGGACACAACACAAAGTAAAACAAATGTTGTTTCTCTACCGATAAGTGTGCTGTAAGCCAAACAAAACCTTTGAAAGTTAAGATAAAAAATAACAAGGTCCTAGCTAGCACTGTGGAGGTCTGGATGTTTTTTTACATGTTCTTATCCATGACATGCCACAGTAGAAGTGTCATAGCAGCCATTTCTCTGAAGCTGTAATCGGCCATTCATGGGCATGCTGACATGTGAATGGCTTCACACACACTGCAGAAAACCATGAGCTCTTAAGAATAAGTGTGTCAGAATAATCCTTAGAAAGACGGACAGAAAGAAAATGTCAGTGACAGATGTTAGGTGGTTTCAGAGGGATTACTGTCCGCCTCTTAATAATATCCTCTGGTGTGCATCACCATTCTTACACACTCTCACACATGCATGAGAATCACACACACAGCGGGGTCCAAAAGTTTGAGATTTCTTTATCAATGTGGACACAAGATGACAAGAAACCTTAGATTAGAGATTGATTGAAATGTAAAAGAAATGTGGTTACAAACAAGTATTTAGACTAAATGTTAAGCTGAGCAGACACAGCTAATGTCGTGCTTCCGAAAACTATTGATCACTTTCTCTCACAACTCGAACATCGTCCTGCAGATTAAAAGCTCCTGTGATGAACACAGGACTGTAAAAATATAATGTTGCCTTTAAAATCAAGCAGCCCTTAAGTCAGCAACTGTTGCCTGATAGTGGTTAAGCAGTGGAAAGTGTGGAAATAATGTGCTCTACTCACCAGGTTAGAGTTGGTGGCGTTTGAGTCATCCTCGGGAAAGGGGATGTAGACAGCTAAGGCCACACAGTTAGCAAAGATGGTCATCAGGATGATGATCTCAAACGGTCTGAGTGGAGGGTTAAGGAATAATAGAGAACTAAAACCAGAAGCTTACCAAACCCACACTACATGAAATAGATCATCTAGTATCATCTCCTTACCGAACATTTCACAATATTGAACAATATTTGGTAAAAGTTGATGTTTTATTGTAGGTGGTGTGTCCTTTTTAAAAAATATCATCCCATTTACAGCAGGCCATGAAAAGCTAATTATGAAGTGAAATAGACACAGACTTCCGACAGTCTTGAGTAGGTATACTTTCAATCAGTACGTTTTTCAATAAAGATGTATTTTTAGACACGCTAATACATAGTTTCATGTTCAGAGGTTAGCACACAGTTAAGTTCACGAGCAGTGGAGAGAGATGAAAGCTCTTGAATTTGCCTTTTGGTTAACATAAAGACACATGGGGTAACTTAGGATCCTCTAAGTGTGTGCAGGGCGGGTTGGAGAGACAGCACATTTCCTAATATGGGTGCGTTAAGGAGCAGGTCTGTCGCGTGGAAGACGGGATGTGGACAGAAAGAGAGAGAGCGAGATGGAATGAGACGAGAGACAGAGGGGTTTTATTTGGAACGGTCCTTGAGAGGGGACTGACCTCATTATTTTGGGCCTTTGAGAGAAAGGGAGAATGGATACTGGAGAGATAGTGGCAAAGAAAGTGAGAGAAAGAAGAGGAGAGACAGCAGAGGTCTGGCTTTCATCAACACAATTACAAACGGCCATTGCTGTCACCTCTCTCCTCCTCGTTTTACCTTCTCTCCGCTCTTCTTTTTCTCTTTTTCGTTTTGTACTTTTCTGCCTCCTGTCATAATTTTCTCTTAGCTCCTCATCAAACTAGTTTTGACTCCAGAACTCAAGGCCTAATGTAAACAACGAGTTGTGATGTCAGAGCCTCAGGTACAGTGGAGAAAACACAAAGAAACAGATTTCAAATTAGATGATATTTACATTTACAACATAAGTTCCCAGCCAAAAACGTTTTTTTTTTAAATACTGATAACTGCAGATGAAGAGAGGCAGTTAAAAAGTTTGCTCTGGGGAGCTTCTTTGATGTGCTGTTCTCTGTTATCTATCTACCGGTACTTTAAGGCCATTTGTGTCCTTTCAGCTTTCAGAGAGTTTTCACTACTTCAAATGCATCAGTTTTTAAAAAAATTAGATTTTAAGTCCATGGATTGCGTCAGTGCTTTATTTACTCTTTATTTACTTATTTTTTAATTTATTTACATAACCCCTTTCATAACACCTTTATTTACTTTTTCATAACTTATCATAGTTTTCTAATGAGCTCAACTGGGTGAGATTCAGATGAGAAGCCATCTTGTGTTTGAGCGCTTCGCTGTGTGTGGTCTCACTAAAAAAAGACCTACTATCAAGTTTAGAGCCCTCACGTTTAGGGCCCTCACGACTGTTTTAGTAGCAGCTCTGCAGACGGAGAAAGAACCAGCGGGAGAAATATCTGTTAATATATTGTTTATGTTTGGATTAAGTACTGACCCTTAAACTGTGTCAGCTACAAGATCACCCAGTTTATTCAGCCTGGGACCAAAGCACATCAAAATGTATCATTCACCCTTGTACCAGGGGTTCATTAAACTCACTTAAGACACGTGGAGATCCACTAAACACAAGCTTGTGACTCATTTTGGGTTACTGACCCATAATTTAAAAAAAAACCCTGAGGTCTGCTTCCATCACCATGATAATAAATCTTCCGTCTGCTATACTGCTGAGAGCAAAACAACAATTGGCGGTCTGAAAATGAATCAAGCACGAAGCCTATTAATGAACATTAACTGCAACATCCCTGTTTAACATCACTGGAGAACAGACATGTCAGGCTGAATTAAGACTTAGTAAGGCTTTTGCTTATTGGTAGGAATAAATATGGCAGTCCCTCCAAACAAAACTGTCTACCTAATAATGCGTTGGCTTCCAGGTAAATCTAAGGCATTATTGATAATAGCCATCTGATAAAAAGTGAAATTCATCACAAAAGCCAACTACACAAGCTTAAAAACTCTAAGATCACATCCACAGATAGTAAGAAGTAGTTATTTTCTGAGATATGGCAAATGGCCTTTGTAAACACTACAAGCTGCTCACGATAACACAGATCATCTGTAATCTCGACAAGGCCAAATAGGAAACTTTGCGTCGTCTGATATCAGAATTTGGGAGAGCAAAGCCAACACTTTTCTCAGTTTTAAGGTGAACTGTTGGGAAACAGACACGTAAAACTATGGGGTTTGTATATGCTCTCCAAAGGTGCCTTAACTAACTACCACCTTGTGAGATTTTATATTAGACGCTATGGTTGTTGGGCTTAAATGGGCTCCTGCTCTCTGTGTCTTTCACACTCACCTTGCAGAGTTCACATAATGCTTAAATGCTGTAATTACACAGCATGAGGCACCCCTGTGTCTCAGCGCTTTATCATTTGTATGCAAGTATGTTTGTGTTCTTCAAGAGTGTTAACGTGCCTCCTCTGCGTGTGTATTTTTGCGTATGTGTGAGCTCAGACAGGCCCCATCGACCTGTTGAGAGCAGCAGCTGTTGTCATGGTAACAGAGAAGAAAAAGAAGAAGATTTTGGATATGGCATCTCCAGAGAGAGGTTCTCTCTGACCATAGTACATAGAAAATGATCTCATTAACTAGGAGCCATTTAAAACACAAATAAAGGAACTTGATACTACAAATAAATACGCAAAAAGTCTGTATTCAATCACCTATTAGTGTTTAAACATATGCCCACCCTGCTCATGGTCAGTGGTGGTATTGTCACTTTACTTTTACCATACTTCTCTCTGGCCATTTTCAACAATAGAACATATTCATGTTTTCTTCCCTACTCTTAGATCCTTTTTCTTTTATCTGTTTTCGTAACTTTATCTGCCTCTTTCTTCATTATGATATTCTTGAATAAAAAACTCTGGGAATGATCTAAAAACGTATAGGTAATGGCAAAAATGTCTTTAGGGACCCTAAAGATTTATTTCTGTCCGTTTAAATAATTGTTTTACATTTTTCCTCAGTTTTCACATCAACCGCAACATAAAGTTTACGGCAACGACTGATGATAGATACACATGGACATAAATAAAAAAGTACATTCATTATTGGAGTGCTCATAGAGGGTAGGCAGTTAATTCATCATTCATCATTTTTAAGTAAAACAAAGACTAAAATACACTTTGATCATCCCATCAATTAATGTACAACCTTTAATTTAGTGAGATATAAATTCTTCAAAATAATTAGGTTTAGTCATGGAGGTCATTTAATAAAAAAATGTATTGATTTATTTAATATTTCTCTTTAAAAGAGGCATGCGGACCTGATGTAGAATTTTAAATGCCATGCTTGTGGATAAATTGTGAAGGAAAGATAAAAAAAGGCTAAAATCGTTGTATCCTCCACGTGAGAAAAAGGGAAAAAAAATTCAAAGTTAAGAAACACAGAAGTGGAGAGGGGATTGAGACAACTGAGAGAAGAAAATCACACTTATTGAGAGCCAAAATACATAAGGGAGACTGATTAAATTCCCTTACAAATGGGATTACAGTTGAAAGTGAGAAAGGAAATATTCCTCAATGATCTTAATGTAACCTGAGACAGGAAAGTCTAAAAAAAACCCCATTAAATCTACTTTGGATATAATATATATTTATATATGTGTTTTATATGTAAATATGAATAAGGTGAGCTGCAGCACATTATTTTGGACAGGCTTTAATCTTAGAATTACGTCTTGATGCGCTCAGACTGACTTAATAAAGGTAGTGAGAGTAATAGACAGAAAACGGTGTAAACATGCTTGTTTGAAGGATACTTCCACTCTACGATGCTGATGCAGGCTCTGCGAATGGGGTTCTTGAGTGTGAGGCAGAGGAGGGCTCGTGGTGGCCTTGTGGCCGTGGTTGTGGTCTGTTTCTTGGGTTTGGAGCTGTAGTGCTGTCTCTTTCTTTGTGTTGAGCTTGCTGTGGATATGGGCCCCCCCCCTCCTGACCCCAGCCCAGCCCCTCCACCTGACGCCGCATTTCCCATCATCTTAGCCTGCCGTGCTGCGTCTATGGCCGCCTGCCAGCTCAGGGCGGCCCCCGGCGTGGGGATGTGCTCCGGAGCCAGGCCAACCACTCCCACGCCGTGGTTAGCCCCGCCCCCTCCGCCGCTGTGGTCACCATGGCCGCCACTGCTGTGGTCATTTGTCAGGCCAGCTGGAGGAGGACGGGGCAGGGGTGGAGGGGGAGAGTAGTCGGAGCCTAGAGAGGAAACAAAAGCAGAAGGAGAAAACAAAGTTAGAAAACCATGCACTATTAAAAACCAGTCGAACCAGTGCATCACGTCCCTCAGTGAGAAGCTGATTCATTTTTTGAATAGATATTACTTCAAGCTCCTCAGAGTTTACACAGAATCTTTTATACATATACTATACATCCCTCACAAAGTTGTCCTGTCCCTAAAATACTCCCCATTTGTTTTTTCAATTAGTTTTCTTGACATCAAAATTTTAAAATTATGGTCTAAACTTTTAGTGGTACATAGGTCTTAGTAATACTACATGCTACACCACTTTTTCCCTTTTCAACAAGCTACTAATGAAAACTCTGCTTCAGTATATTTAAAATCTATCTCTATCTTTAATTCAGTGGCTTCCAAACTCCCCATTGGTGCCCTGATCTCGAGTGTGTGAAACTCCATCCCTCTCTCCTTCTATTTGATTATTTTTTGGATTTGTTTATTTTCCTGTGGTGGCAGAAATGCAGTGGTCGCATGTCTGAGAAAACATTACAAAACCATAGAAATGAATGAATAAATTCAAGTGCTGGACTGAAAGATAAAAAGAACGTTAGAGAGCATTGAGTAGAAGAATTACAGTAATCTCTGGAAGATTACATAGTTTCACCCATACAAATAAAAGGAATAAGGCTGAGTAAAAGTCAGGGAGAGCGGATTATCCATTCTGTATGCTTTGCTAGATTAAAGACAGTTATATCCTTTCGGCCTCACTTCCCACTGCAATCTCAGTATGGATTCTGTAAATGTTCACACTGTGTACAAGAGAACAGTTTCAACAAAACCAGAGGGTAACCTGTCAGCATTAACCGAATTAATTCAAAACCTTTCAATAAACTTTCTAATATTGTATTAGCTGGATGCACAGAGCCAAAAATATTTTTTTTTTGTTCAACTAGGAACATTAAAACAATTCAAAGGCGTTCAGTGGCACTGACGTGCTTTGAAACGGATCAAACTAGATCAAGAGACATCCATGCTTGAATCTAGTTGTCCGCAAGTCAGAAATTCCTATTATTCTGTCTACATTAAATTATTATTTATCCTTATGCCAAATTTCAGAACCCACTGCTGCATGGGTTGGGACCTATGACTCATCATATTTGTCATATTTTGACAGTTACATTTTTTTTAATCTAAACACCACACACAATACTAACTAAGGAAAGATGGTTTTTGCTTTGACAGAAAATTAAAAATGGAAGAAAATGAAGAAAATCTGATGCCGTTACACAGGCTCAAGTCTTCTATATCTTAAAGGAATCGTTCAGATATACTTCATGCAGGAATACTGTGTTTTCACACACTTCATGACCGCTGCGTAACATAAACTCCAACATCAGCCGCTCAGAATCAAAGATGAGTAATAAATATCCTGTTCAAATGAGTTGACTTTATAGGGAGGATGATTCAAATAACTTTAACGATGCTGTTATAATACGACAGAGAGCAGGTGATCTGAGGGTTCGTGATTTCATTATTTACAGCTGTGTTTCTCATACTTTTTTCAGAACACTGTTATAAAGTGAGGGCTAAAGGGGGACCACTCTGATAAAGAAATTAAAATCCCAAAATTTTGAAACGTCACGACAAAGTACCAAAAAGGAACTTCCACAAGACACTTTGGAGACGGGATTTTTTTTCTTTAAGAAAATGAGTGGGTTTCATAACAGTGACGGATTTGAAAGTCCTTCATGGCTTGACTTGTACTTAACTGAGTTGTCAGTCAAAGTATGGTGATTGCCTCAGGGCACAACAATCTGTCCTCTTTGGTTGATTAAGTTGTTCATTTATTTATTTATATGCCTTCTCACCATTTAGAAAAAGTTGACCTTTTTTGTCTTGTTTGAACTTGTAACACTTTATTACCATCAGGTCTGGAGGCATTTTATTGTTCCAATCATATTCATAAAGCAGTGAGCTTTGAAAAGAGCAGCAAAGCTCAGCTCAGTAAACGTATAACTGAAGTCATAAGGCATAGCTTCGTCTTATAGGAAAAAACTTTAGCTGTTTTAATTTGTTTGCTTTTCACAGTTTACATGTTATTTCTGGGACAGATGTCTGTTAATTGCTCAAATGGCTAATTTTATTTTTTCCACATGGCGTTCAAATATGCATTTGAACGCCATGCTTATTCTCTCAAATCCTCCATTAAAGTTTGCATGAATGTCTGCATCCCGGCTGTGTCTGCACACCCCCGTTCTCATCCCCTCACCATTTCCAACAAACACACTCACAAAGTTCACATACACACACTGCCACATAATCACTTTCAGCATATTGTACTTGTGTGTGATCGGTTTATCTCACCCTGCCTGCCTCTCTCACAGCGAGCGCCCCATTGAGAGTGTGCATGTCCACACAAATGTGTGTGTGTGTGCAAGTGGGAGAGGATTAGAGGACAGTAAAACTTTAATAATATAGAGCTCACTAATCTGCCGGGCCGCATGTCTCTGTGTGTTTCGGGCCTGTCACATGAATAAGCACAGTCATTATTTGTGTGTTGCACTATGGATGGACTGTTCATGTGACTGACAATAATTCTATTAACAGCTCTCGATTATAGACGGAGATACAGCCTTCCATTGAAATTCAATTTAAAAGGGAATCTGACTACAGCAGCAGGAGCTGAAGGGCTGGAGGATGAGGACAGCAGAGGATGAAGTTTCAAGCCACATTAACGGAGGTGGAGTGGGATGAATAAACAAGGAGGAGGGATGACCAATTATTGTGGTAGCTAACTGAAATGAAATAATGGGAATGACATTTATAGATGGAATTAGAAACTTTTTCTAATGGAGAACAGGGGTCAGACGTATTACAAACATCCCGTGGTAGTTTTGCTGTGCTGTGGGATCGGACCAAATGGTCCAGCTTACCATTATTCCCCACATCCAACAGGGAGCTATTACTGGTCCACAATTGATTGGTGCTATGCTAATCTTGCAGCTTAAAACTTCTCAAACACCTGTTGTTCTAGAAGCTCAGGCCCAGTCATTTTGCAGTCATTATTTTGCCTCCCTTAAGTCAAAGAAGCTTGCATTGCTCATACTTAATTAATTCTTTGAAACACTTAAAAGTTTAATTGCAACAAGAGAATCATTATTATTCACTTTTATTATCGGAATTCTGCTGATAATCAACTATATTGTTTGTGTACAAATGAAAACTGGTGTTTACATGATTACAAAACAGCATTAATGAAGCTCAGGTCCATAACAGGATGCCTCTTTAGATTGAAAGCATCAGTCTGCTCACTCACTCTGCAGTCAGCAGTCGCTCTGGCCCAAATATACCTGACAACTACTCAGGCAAACTTCAGTGGGAGCTGAACTGCGGATTGTAATGAGCTGAGATACGAGCCAAAGTCAGTGGAGCTGTTATCTGTTAAATGATAAAGACCGGAGACAGATACTATCACTGCAGCGCTAAGCACCCTGCTTCAAAATGTCACTGCTTCGCTAGCCGCGTACACAACAGGGTTCTCCAGATTGTTCAAGCTGATGTTGGTCAACAATACAAGTACAGCCCCTCTTCAAATTGCAACATGTAACGTCTCACTTTGCTCTGCTCTTTAACTGGCTAAACCAGATACCTACAAAGAGGAGGACCAGTCAGCGTAATAAGTCTCCTGAGCCGTCTCCTCTGTGTGCCCTTCAGTGTTCACTTATTCTCCCCATTGATCTGGGTCTTTTCACACTTTGCTTCCATCTGCAAGTCTTTCCCCTGTGTTTTTCCCATAAAGGATCTACTGGGAAGGTGTAATTATTAGTCAAATAAGTGATGAGGACACTTGATCAGACACTAATTAGTGTGGGACACACACATGCAGATACAAATTAGTAGACTTTAAAGCAGCTCTGATAATGAAAAGAAAGATAGCTCACAGAAGCCCAGAAAACTGGGCTTGACCAATAGTCTTTTTCCAGTTCAGTACAGTCAGCTGACAGCCCAGCTAAAATGTCATTACTTATAAAAGCTGACCTCCTTTTGCCACTGTACCTTATTTTCTTCCTCCTCCACTCTACTTCTTTTTTTCCTGCACCATCCTCCATGCTTTTGCCATTCATCCTTTCTTCCTTTAAACAGTTTCTCCTGATCCTCTCTTACCTTCTTTGCCCTCTTTTCTCCCTAATCTATGATGCTGTCACTCCCTCCACTGACCCTCCACTAGCAGACAAGTTCATTTCAGTCATGGACCTCTTCATTTCTCTCTGCTTATAACTCTTCCTCACATCACTTCATTCCGTTATTTTAAAATCGGGGGCAATAATTCCTTCTCCCTAGCTATCACCCATTTTTATTGTTGAAAGGAGCAGCTATTAATCAGTTTTTGGACTCACAAGACCTCTGCCTCTTTACTGCCACTTTTGAACTCAGGTTTATAATAACACATTAACTACGTGACGTGCAAGAGCTGAAGGATTTTATTTCAGTCCTAAAGACCGTTTTCATCTTTTCTGGCTTTTAGGACACTTCATCTGCCCTCACTCTAATTATCAATGTATTCTTAAGTGTTGACCCAAACCCAAAAGAAAATAAAAAAAGGGTACTTTCAGTTTTGCTCCCCAGCAATAAATTTGCCGATGACATCAGTTTTATGTGTACGTCTGCATATGTGATAGTGAATCTCATTTGTCTCGCTCTTGCTTTGTCCATATGTGCCCATTATATGGCCAAGTAAGCACATTACACACACACACACACCTGCTCTCCTTGAAAGACAAGACACACACACCTGCTTCTCTCTAATCTGTGCCCTTTGCCCCTTAACAGCAGATCACTGTATGCTGAACCATGCATACAAGACAGGAAGACAGGAAGAAGCTTATTTTATGCTTTTGAACGTGAAAATCAAAGGTGGTCACTGTTGGCGGACGAAGGGCAGCTTGCTCATTCATTCCATTGAATCCTGTTCACACAGTTGTTTCTCATATCTGATGTTGCTTATCCTTTCTGCACTGTC